AGCAATCTCTGCACCAACTTTCTACGAATCTAAAGCTTTTCTCAAGTTAAGGGTTTATTGCAGGTGGAAATCCTTTATCTGAGTGCTTGGGACCAGGAGTGTTTTGGGTTTTGGAATATCCACAGAATGAGCTATCCTGGAGATGAGATGCATGTTTAAACACGAAATTCATTTATGTTTCAGATTCATCTTAGACACGTTACCCCAAGGTAGTTTTATACAGCATTTTGAGTGCACCTGCATTTGACTACGACATGTTACAAGAAACCAGGTGTGGAATTTTCCACTTGGAGCATCAGGCACGGGTGCTCAAAAGAGTTTTGGATTTTGGAGTGTTTCAGGTTTTGGATTTTCAGGTTAGGGATACTCAACCTGTAATTGAAAAGAGGAGGGTGAGTACAGCGCTCTGGGCAGGTTGTGGGGGTCAGGGGAGGCACCCTGCAGGCTTGCCAGCCCTTGGTGTCAGTTAGTGTCCTTGCTTCTGTGTGAGCACAGGTGGTTTAATACCCCAGGGTCTCGCTTTCTTAGCATTGTCCCCACCCGCTGTTCCCTTCTTGGTTGAGACCTGCCTTACCTGGCCACCACATAGGAGGAGGACGGTCTGCTCTGTAGCTCATGGGGAGCAATGTTCCCTAGGACAGAGGGAACTCTGGGTTCTCTGCCAGGCTCCCCCTGCCCCCGCTCTGCCAAGGAGCCCAGCCTTGGTGTAGGAGGAGAGCTGCCCGCTGCCTCCCTGGCGCCCCCTGAAGGCCTGGCTGCTCCCCACCCCCACAAGTGAAACCCCAGCTTTTTTGCCTTAGAAATGGAGTCTGATCTCCCTTTGGAGGAGGATGACAGGACTGAGCTCCTGGCCATGCAGGTTGTAGGGAGCAGGGGGGGTCCTTGCCATTTCCCTTGTCTGGCGTAGCCTGTTTGCTGAATGGGGAGCACCCCCCCAACACACACATTTGGAAACAAGGAGGCCGTTTGTGATCCAGAAGTCTGTGTGCTGAGTTTTGATAGTGGGAGGAAGTGTTGGGGAGGAGGTTCCAGAAAGCCCCGAGGCAGGGGATCCAGCCTGTCTTCCTGCCTGCCTTGCTGAGTTGTCCCCTGGTCCTGTTTCCCGCCCCTGGGCCGTTCTCTCCTTCCCCTCCACCTTTGCCTCTGTGTAGGCTGTCCCAAGGTCCCAGGGCCCTAATCTCACATCCCTCCTCATCAGCCCTCCTGTCTCAGCTGGACTGCACAGTTTTGAGGTCGGGATCTTCCTGGGTCCCCACCCTCACAGGGAGCCTCAACTTGTGGAGTAGGGCGGAGGAGACGTGGCTCGGGAGCGGTGCGCTGCAGGACAGATTGATTGAACCTATGGAGGCTGTCTAGTGGCCCCAGGCCCCAGAAGGCCCCTTTCTACCTGCTTCCTGCTGGTGCCACAGTTGGCCAAGACCAGGAGAAGGGCCTGCTTTCCTCCCAGCTCTGCTCCTCTTCTTTCCCAGGCCAGAGGAAGCCCATACTAGTCGATCTGGCCCAGAGCAGCCAGGTTTGGAACATCTACTGAGTATAAATAGGGTCCATAGAACCACAGAGATCTGAGTTCAAATTCTAGCCTTTCCACTTCCCAGCTGGGAGGCCTTGGGCAAGTTACTTCACTCGGATATCTTGCCTATGAGGTGGGAATAATTCCTCTCTCCATAGGGTTGTTGTGAGGTTGTATTCAAAGCCACTTGGGCCAGTGCTGGCACATAGTAGGTGCTTGGGAAATATCAGCTTGCTCTTCAACCCCATCGCTCTGCTGTTGTTTCTCTGGCCAGAGTCCTGATCTTTGCTTGTTTTTCTAGTGCACACCCAGAGGCTATCTCAGGTTAATATACTGTGTCAAACCCTAACCTGGGGGGTTGGGGGGGTGTCCTAGCAGAGGTGACCTTGAACTTGGCTCAGGGAGGAGAGGCAAGAAAACCAGCAGCATTGTTTCTTTCTGCCCTGTGGGGGTGTCTTTTGGCTGATCTCCCCGGAGCTGGCTCCCTGGCCTTACCTCCAGCATTGTGGGGCAGCCATGGGAGGCTGTGGCTGACACGGCCAGGCCCTGGGTGCACAGCCAGGCTGGAGCCCGTCAGGCAGCCTGTGAGTGTGTTCCAGAGGGGCTGGGGTTCCGGGCGTCCCAGCTAGCCACACCTGGCTGTGGCGCCGTGTGCCAGCTGCCCCCTACAGTGCCCGCCAACACGGCAGCCCTGGCCGGCCACTTCCTTGGCTTGCACAAACCCCAAAGCAGTTCCAGCGGAGCCAGAGCCAGGGAGGTCCCTGCTGCCAGGGTGAGCTGACAGCTGAGTGCAGATGAGTGTTCCAGGGCTCCAGAGAGGGACCCAAGCAGGGAACTCGGAACAGCAGGGCCAACCCCACCAACCACGGTCCTTGGCTCGAGGTGGTGGCCATTGGAACAAAGGTCACTGAAGTCCTCGATGAGTGGATTTATCCTGCTCAGGGGTAGAAATGAAGACAGCCATCCCTCAGCATCTGGGGAGCGGGGACTGGGTCTAAGATCCCTGTGGAAACCAAAATCTGTGGAAGCTCAAGTTCCCTGTATCTCCTGTGCAGTTTTTCCATGTACTTTGTCATTTTTAGGTTATAAAGCCTGATGCAATTTAAATGCTACATAGTCATTACAGTGCACTGTTTAAGCAATAATGGCAAGAAAAAAACAGGGAACATGTCAATATAGACAGTGTGTTTCAGAGATTTTCAGTCCACAGTTGATTGAACCTGTGGAGGCGGACAGTGGATACAGAGGGTGTCTGACAGGTGACAGGGCTCCTGGCAGCTGTCTGCGTGGTCCAACCTGCTTGACGGACATGTGCAGGAAGGCAGAGGCCCAGCAGATGCCCTAACCCAAGTCCCAATGACAGCTCTCCTCCGCTTCTCTCTCTTCTCTTCGTTCCTCGTTTGTTCAGGACAGCTGATGGGCTTTCAGGTACTCGTGGGGCATGCACAGGTGCCGCAGTCTGGCTGGGCACAATTCACTAGCCACTTATCAAGCAGAAACGAACTTTATTTTTAGAACACACATGCCACACTAGCTCTTCAGGAATTCCCTCAGAGCCCAACTGCCACCACTGGCTTCCCACAAGCCTCTCAACCCCCCTCTCCTCCTGCTCTTGAGGCCGATTGGCTGGGTCGCGTGGGCGGAGCTAAAAGAGTCCCCCAGTGAGCAGCTCCATGGTCTGAAAGGGCGGGGAAACAGCCCAATGAGCATCACAGCAGAGGAGCCAATCAGCTGGCAGCTGGAAGTTTGCTGGGGCCCCGGTGAGCCAATCAGCTGGAAGTTTGCTGGGGCCCCTTCTGCTGTGGCTCTCTGTGTTTTGTTAGTGGTGCATCCTTGGTCTGCTAACAGAGCACATCAGACCAGGGAGGACCACAACACTGACCACACCTCAGTGTTGAAGGAAGGCTAGTCCCAGCCTTGGGGCGCAGGAGGGTTGGGCTTCGTTGAATGTCACTCCACTGCAGGTGGATTATCATTTCAGCCAGCAGCCAAGCATCCTTGGGTTGGAATTCTGCTGTGTGGCTGGTGGGATCTGCAGGCCCTCCTAGGATACGTCTTGGGAAGGCAGGTCAAGAGGACACCATCTCTACACATTGTGGCTCTTTGTTCCCATGAAGTCTTCGCTCCTGCTGGGGAGGGCAGGAGGGTGGGAGGAGCCCTGTGCCCATTGGTCTGTCTGTCCTGCCTTGTGGCGGGGAGTTGGCAGGGGCTGCCTGCCCACAGCGGGCGCAAGCTTTGGTCTCATTACTCAACTGGATCCAGACACGGGCGCCAGGAAGGTTTGTGAGGAAGCCTGATGCTGGCTGCTGTGGAGTCCGCACGTTGATGAACTGGTCAGGTGCCAGTTCTGGGCACTGGGAGAGGGGGCTGGGGCTGGGGCTCCGTGGTGCATGAGCTTCTGCTGCTGCAGCTCTGAGCCCACAGCCTGGCTCCAGCCTTGGCTGGCCCTGGAGGGGTGTGTCCATGGGAGCAGGTCTCCAGGTCCCCTCCAGCCTTCTCCTCCCCGTGGGACTCCCACATACATGTGGTGGGAAGCATTGCTCTTCTGTTTGGGGGACAACAGTCCCTTTGTAAGTGAGGTTTCTTTGCTTATGAGTGGAAAAGAATTGATGACTGGATGGCCGGGGGAGATGGAAGTGATAAGACTAGGACATGAAACTCCATTTCTGCTCCTTGTGAAGCAAGCCATGTGAGCAAGAGTCAGAGACTGGCCTCCACCTCTGCCTCCATCGCTGATGGCTGACCAAGCCTCTGGGTTTATGCCACTCCCTCGTGATTTCCAGATGTTGAGATAGCCATTATTATCCCCAGTCTGCAGAAAAAGAAACAGAGGTTCTAAGGGATTCCCTGTTGTGTCCAATCAGCCGGCTCACAAAGGGCAGGGCTGGGACTTGAACTGAGGACTCTAGGAGACACTTCATCATTGCTGTGTCTCTTCTTGAGCAAGTCGTTTCTCTGTGAGTCTCTGAAGCTCCATCTGGGGAATTATTTACAGAAATGACAGCACACCCCATGCATTTATCATGCTTGTAAAGACACAGAATATTTTCCATGAAACAAGCAAAATGTGATTTTGCCTGGCAGTAGGGGAAAAGCTGCTGTTCCAGTGGCAATTGAAAAGGCCAGGGGGCTCGAGCCAGGGTTCCCAGGAAGGGCCTCTTCAGGGATGTGGAAAGATGAGTGTCTGGTCAGGGGCTTGAGTTGGGGACTGTGCCCACTTTGCCTCCCCACACTCGCTTTGGCATCACGGAAAGAGCTCAGCACTGGAATTGTGTGCTCCAGGACCCGACTCCCAGGTCCTGTTAGCTGTGTGTCCCTGGGCAAGTCAGGTGACCTTTCCCAACCTCAGTTTCCTCCCTGGTAAAGTGGGGATAGGAATGCCTGTCTGATGAGGCCATGGTGGGGTGAAGTGGGGTACCACCAGTGGATACTGGGCCCAGGACCTGGCGCGTCGCAGGCTCCTGGTGAATGTGCACTCTTGTCCTTGCAGGTGGATGAGATTTACCACGATGAGTCCCTGGGGGCCCACGTGAACATCGCCCTCGTCCGCCTGGTTATGGTCGGCTACCGCCAGGTGAGGCCCCGCCTATCAGCAGGTGGGGTTTGGAGCTAGGGTAGGAGCAGCCATGTGGGCAAGCATCTGGGAAACCAGGCTGCAGGTGTCAGGAAACCTGCCATGTCTTCAGGAGAGGAACTGACAGTCCTGGTTCCTCACAGAGGGAGGTCCCTCTTCTTGGGGAACTGAAGGGAAACTGAGGCACTGACAAAGGCAGGCCCTGACAGGCTGAGCCCCGGCTCTACACTCTTAGGCCAGTCACTTATTGTCCATATGGGGTAACAGCTGAACTTCCCTCCAAGGGCAGCTGTGAAGACCAGAGGGGAAAGTGAATGTAGTGCGTGTGACACTCAGAACAGCTCTGCTTGGACGCTTAGTAGAGGGGTTGGGAATAGCGTGTGTCATTCTTCATGGACACATGCATGGGCACGGGACGGCGGTGGCTAGTGAACACCCCTGAAGCAGGGAAGGCTGTGTGCCAGGGGCAGCCACGTGCAGAAAGCTGGGGATCTCTGGAACGCACACTGCATTAGCACAGGGTTTAGCACTGTGGCGCTTGGTATGGTTTGCCCATCGCCGTCGCTACCCAAGCCAGCCTGCTGCCTTGCCACAGTTCCTGTGTGGCCTGACTGCATCTTAGTCAGTATTCTGTGACCTGCTTGGGGCATCCACCGTAGTGGAGGGAGAGTGGCCCTTGGCACCCGGGCTAGGACCACTCCACTGTCAGTGCCCCTCCCCCTGCAGTCCCTGAGCCTGATCGAGCGGGGGAACCCCTCGCGCAGCCTGGAACAGGTGTGCCGCTGGGCGCACTCCCAGCAGCGCCAGGACCCCGGCCATGCGGAGCACCACGACCACGTCATCTTCCTCACCCGGCAGAACTTTGGGCCCTCAGGTATGCAAGGTACCGTGGGTTGGGCCAGGGGGTGGACGGGCTTCCTGTGGGGGCTGCCCCAGGTCAGTGGGAGGGTTCAGGACCTGGGTGGGCAGATGGGTGAACTTGGAGTGGTTCCTTGGAGACCAGGGCAAGTCAAAGGGTTCCCACTCACGTGCCCATTCTTTTAGTTCAGCCTGCAGGCAGCTGGGAGTGGTCAAGCCCTGGGCCTGGTGCTTCATGTCCCAGAGCCTGGCTTCTTAAAGACCCCCCTGCTGACTTTTAAGATATCTCTGCCCACATCATGTCCTGCTGTCCTTGTTGTAGATTGTGAGCACTTGGGGGATAGTCATGTGGCCTGCAGGAAAGGCAGTCCACGCCCCACCCTGCTCCAAGCATCATCTCTGGGTTCTTCCAACTCTCAAATGGGGAGAACAGTATTATATGTCTTCCTTCATTCCCTGGCCGCTCAAAGGGCCACGGAAGGCATGAAATGTCCATGACAGTGTACCGACAACTGAGCATCTGCAAACATGTGTGACTTTGACCCCCAGGTTTCCCATATGGGGAAACTGAGGCAGAGCATGGAGAAGAGGCTTGCCTATGCCCCACTGCAGTCGGGAGACAGGTCTGAGCCCACACTGCTTTCCAGGCCCTACGTTGAGGGCTTTCTAGTTTTTTCTGGTTTTAATGCTGGAAATAAGTGAGCCCACCCTGCCTATCCAGGGGCTTCTCATACGAATCACTGATGCCCCAAATGTGGCGGACAGACACATGCATGCATGCAGATGCACGATGCAGCATGTACACGTACAGACACACATGTGGATACCCAGACCCATGTACATACCCACAGATACACACACATGCGCACACACTTCCGTATGTAATGACATGGCAGGTGGCCAGTCCCAGACCTCCGAGACATCAGGGACTCCAAACCTCCTTCCCACCGCAGCTTTTCATTAGGCTCCCCAGACCGTGTCAAATGAGGGAGCGCTTAGCAGCTCTAGGTCAGGGGATGTTCTCTCTGCAGGCCCAGTTCCATCTGCCCTCCCAGCCCATAACCTGGTCAGGAGTTTTTGTTTCTGTTTGGCTTGGTGGTGCTGGGGATGGAACTCAGGCCTCATGCATGCTAAGCACATGCTCTACCACTGAGCCCCAGCTCAGCCCCTGGGCTGGTCTTGAAAGTAGTCCCTTAGCACACAGTGGTGCTTGGTAAGCGTTGCCCATCGCTGTCGTTACCCAAGCCAGCCTGCTGCCTTGCCACGGTTCCTGTGTGGCCTGACTGCACCTTACTCAGTATTTTGTGACCTCTGGAGAGACATCTTACCTGTCCTCCAGCCACCTCTGCTGCCCACATGTCATTCCCTGCTCCCCTCAACCCCTGCATTGGAAGCCACTCCTTTCCCCTTCCTTCAGCTCATCCAGGACTGTCCCCACCCCTCGCTCTCTAACTCTAGCACTTCACCACCCCTCCTCCAATCTAATCACCGAGTCCTCCTGAATCCAGACCTCCCTTAATGGTAGGTGCTGGGGTGGGAGCAGGAGCATGGATTTGATTCTTCTCTGATTTCTCCATGATATCTAGAGAAGTTTTTATTTCCCTGAGATGGGGTCTTGCTATGTTGCCCAGACTGGTCTCAAACTCCTGAGCTTGGCTGGGCATGGTGGCCCACGCCTCTAATCCTAGTGGCTTGGGAGGCTGAGGCAGAAGGATCACGAGTTCAAAGCCAGCCCCAACAACTTAGCGAGGCCCTAAGCATCTCAGAGAGACCTGTCTCTAAATAAAACTTAAAAAAGGGCTGGGGATGTAGCTCAGTGGTTGAGGGCCCCTGAGTTCCATCCCTCCTACAAACAAAATAAAACAAAAACAACCAAAAAAACCCTCCTGGGCTCAAGCCATCCTCCTTCCTCAGCCTTCCAAACAGCTAGGACCTGAGGCACACAGCACCGTGCCTGGCTCCCCATACTGTCTAACACAGTGTCACCCTCTACCTCCACGTAGAAGGCCTCCCAAGCTTGTTTGCAGACTGACTGACTGACGCCAGGACTGGAGGGAGTCGGTGTGGACTTAGGGTGTGCGCAGGCTCAGATCTGCCTGGAAATCCCGCCTCTGCTTAGAGGAGGAGGCAGCAGGAGCCTCCAGGCCAGGAGGGAGCTACCAAGCCCTGGGGTGTGGGGGCAGCTACCCAGGTCTGCTCTGCTGTGGGTAGGACTTTGGGAGCCTCCTTCTTCTCTAGGGACCCTCCAGCACAGGCCAGGCTGTCCCTGAGGTGGCCAGGCTGGGCACCGACCCTGGCCTGTCCTGCCTCATCTGCCTATGATTTCTCTCTCTGCCCTCTCCCCTCTCCCTGGCAGGGTATGCGCCTGTCACTGGCATGTGTCACCCCCTGAGAAGCTGTGCCCTCAACCACGAGGATGGCTTCTCCTCTGCCTTTGTGGTGGCGCACGAGACCGGCCACGTGTAAGTGGCACCAGGAGGTGGGCGGTGCCGGTGGGTCTGTGCTGGGGGCTGGGCCATGAACGCCAGGGGATCCTGTGGGGGAAGGCTTTCCCCAGATCAGGGTCTGGTCCCAGTGTCCCAGGTAGACCCGCGAGGCTGGTCTACTCCCGAGGCCTGGTGTCTCAGAGTGCCCAGAGAGGGAGGCCCTTCCCTGAGGGAGAGGGAACAAGGGACTCACAACAGTTCTGGGCCTGGGGACCAGATGTGGCCCTGCCTTTGGGAAGTTTGGTGGCAGTGTCCCTGTCATAGGCTTGGGCTTGTTTTCTGGGTGGTCTCTGTCCCTGGCTTCCCTCCATCTGCCCTTGCCTCAAGGTCCTAGTGAGACCCGTTCCAGCTCACACCAGGGCCCTGTGCTCACGGGAGAGCTGGCCTGAGCCCATCACAAACAGGCACACTTAAGCCCAGGCGGCAGGCCAGCCGGGGCTGGCTGTGGGCTCTGCACCGAGGTTGTTTACAGCAGATTCATTCATTCATTCAACCGGTGTTTCTTGCAGGCCCTGTTCTAGGAACAGGGCTGCAGTGGAGAGCCTGAGAGAGACACCCGCAACAGACAGACTGGAAAGAAAGAGCCACATCCCCTGTGTCAGGTGGCAATGTGCACAGGCCACGCGGCTGGGCTTGCATCCACAGAGACACAGCTAAGGGATGCCCTCAGCTCCGTTTCTCCCACAGCAGTGGTGCCTCCTCTCCCTGGGCCTTGGTTACCTCCACTGTGACACAGGGGCTGGCACCAGCGACACTGAGGTGCCTCCCTGCTGTGGAAGCTGATGGTTGCATCTCCCTGGAGCCAGGAGTTCCTCTTCCTGGAGGGGACAGGGGGCGTCCACTCTTCCTGAGCACAGGCTCCTCCCTGTGGAGAGACAAGGATGAGCTTAGGGGGCCCATGTGTCTGCCTGGGGGTTCGGGCCAGATGCCGCCACCTGGAATTATTAAAAATACGGGGAGGTTTGGGCTTTGGCATTAAATACTAGCCACAAAGAGCAAAGTTTTAAAATTTAACTATCTTGGGTGGTGTCTACCAAGCGTGGAGCTCTGGGGTATGTCTGGGGTCTGGGAGAGTTTAAGGGTGGCACCTGGAGGGCTCAGGGAAGGGTCTAGACCTCCTGACCTAAGTCTGCCTTCAGCCTGGTGGGAGACAGTGCGTGGCGCTCGAGTTGATGGTGGCAGGATGGGGGTGCTGTAGCCGACAGCCCTCGGGCAGGTGGCCTGGGCTGGTGTCCTGGAGCAGCAGTGGGTTGGGCTAGCCATGGGAGCGGTAGTGATGAGGGTGGGGTTTGAGGAGGGAGACGGGTGCTGGGAGGAAAGAACAGAGGAGCCCCAGGCAGACACAGCTTTGCACCCAGCGGCCTTGGAGAGAGAGGGCTCTGCCTCCCCAGGGCCCGAAGCCTCCTGCCTCCGGCCTGCCTGCCTGTCTTCCCTGGGGTGGGCACCCCAGCGCGACTCAGGCCTCCCCTCTGTCCCCTGCCTTCCAGGCTCGGCATGGAGCACGACGGGCAGGGGAACGGCTGTGCGGACGAGACCAGCCTGGGCAGTGTCATGGCGCCCCTGGTGCAGGCTGCCTTCCACCGCTTCCACTGGTCCCGCTGCAGCAAGCTGGAGCTCAGCCGCTACCTCCCGTAGGTCACCTCTGCCCCTGGGGCTGGGGAGCAGCTGGCTTTCTCCCTCACATTATCACCGATACCCTACCTGGCCCTCTCCAGCCACCTGACCTAAACACCCCCCTCAGCATCACAGGGGGGTGGTGTGCATGGGAGATGGTTTGCATTTAATTCTTTTTAAAAACCAGACCCCTGCCCCGCCCAAGATGCTAATGAGAGTCAGCTGGCAGTCCTCCTGGGACTCTGGATTCACCGAGCCTGCAGGCAGTACCCAGGCTGAAGGCTGGGAACCTCAGGCCCGGGCTAGGGTATCTCTGTCTCCCCAGAGGCCCAGAGAAGGGGCAGGATGAGAGGGTATGTCCAGGTGCAGGGCCAGTGTTGAGATCCAGGCCTGAGAAGGGGCCGGAGTGGACATGGTGGGCAGCTGGAGGCAGGGATGCGGTCATGACCTCTGCAGGGAGCTGGCCTGGCCAGGCTTCCCGGTGCACTTCCTGCCCAGGGGCCGGGCTTTGCCCCTTCCCTCGGGGCACAGAAAGCCTCACGTTATCCACGAATCGACTTTAATCTTGGCCATGGCGTGTCTGTCCCTTTAACATGAGTCAAACTGGTCTCCTAAGCCAGCTGTGACCCAGCTCCTAGCCCGAGTCCGGGGTCCCTTGCCCTACTGCTGATGGAGCCCTCCCACGCAGTCACTGGGAGAGACCAGGCTCCAGGCCAGGGCTGCTCGGGTCAGCCTTCCTCCCTGGAGAGCAGCCTCCCATCCCTGCAGGTTGCTCCCATCCCAGCCCCTGACAAGGAAGAGCGAGGGACCTCCTGCCCGAGGCCCGGCTCACCCCCTTGTTTCTCTGGCAGCTCCTACGACTGCCTCCTCGATGACCCCTTTGAACCCACCTGGCCGCAGCCCCCGGAGCTGCCCGGGATTGACTACTCAATGGATGAACAGTGCCGCTTTGACTTCGGCACCGGCTACCAGACCTGCTTGGCAGTGAGTATTCCCTGGGCCTCTGCCAGGCCAGGGACGCCAGGGCCATGTCCTTCCCTGAACCAAGCTAGTCGTTCACAGGGTACCTTCCACCTGGACTGTCAGTCAGCCTGGGGATGGCCTGCAGGCTTAGTGCTGGCCACCAGGGAGGAGCAGGGTGGACAGGACACAGGCCCTGCCCAGGTCTGCTTGTGGGGACAGGTAACTCAGGAGGCTTGAACAGCCTCTGCCCTGGGAAAGATGGTAGGAGTAGCCCAGGGAGGGAGGCCCTGGCTGGCTGCTCCCTGGGGGTTCACCTGGGGAGCCATCCAGGTGTTAGATCAGGTTCTGGTCCTTGGGAGCACCCCTGTACCCGCATGTCACCTCTCTCCAGGGGCGTCACGTCCTTTCCCCCGCCCCCATCCTTATGTCTGAGACTGCAGGTACCAGGAGCATAACCCTGGTTCACCCTGCAGGACAGGAGGGGAGGCCCTTAAGCCTAGAGATCAGCTCAGATCACCTGGGAAAGAGCCAAACTGTGATACCTGTGGCCCTGGCTGAGGCTCTGATAAGGTGACATCGGAGGGCAGGGCACTTTCTGAAGGGGAGGCCTGGGTGATCCAAGTGCTTTGTACCCCCCACGTAGGGTATTCAGGGCCCTCACCTGCATGGGACAGAGGCTCTCTTTGGTACCACGAGGAGCCCCTATATGTGGTCACCTTCCCTTCTCTCTAGACCATGCTGGGACGTGTGGTCTGACACAGCACAGCTTTGGGATGGAAGGACAGGGTGTAGGATTTCAGTGCCTAAATGCTGTGTTGGTGGGATGCTCGTCTGGCAGGTAGGGATGAGGCCCCTGGGGCTTTCCAGGATAGTCTGGAACACACGATCACCAACCTCTGGCCTTGCTGGATGTCCACCTTAGAGGGAGATGGGGGCCTCAACCTCAGCGGTGTCCCTTTAGCATCCCCTATATCACAGGAATTTGAGAACTCCTCAGAGCCTGAAACTCTTGTCCCAGGTCAGTGACAAGGTAGCTTCTGCAGATTAAGGAAAGGAAGCCAGGAGAGGACTGCTCCTAATGGGGAGAAGAGGGGCCCTGGGAGCCAGTGGCACTTGGGGTGAGAGGAGCTTGAGAGTGTGTGAGCTCTGGTTTCCTGGGCATCCACCACACCTCCCTCTCTCCACCGCCACCCCCTGCCCCTTGGACAACTTGTGAGGGCTGGAGAGTCAGCCCGGTGACCCAATCCTTTTGCCACACAGTTCAGGACCTTTGAGCCCTGCAAACAGCTGTGGTGCAGCCACCCGGACAACCCATACTTCTGCAAGACCAAGAAGGGGCCCCCGCTGGATGGGACCGAGTGTGCACCAGGCAAGGTAGCTGCAGGGTCTGCAGCGGAAGTGCTTTCCCGGGGGGTGGGACATCCCTGGCCGGGGCAGGTGCAGATCCTGGAGGCCCCAGGCCTGTGTATACATGAAGGAGGGCCAGTGCCAAAGGACAGGGCAGCAGATCTGCCAGGAGTCTCCTGCAGCCTCCCACATGCTACGCTTCCCTCCACAGGGAGCCCTTCGCCTCCACAGTTGGCCAGGTGTAGCAGGATCTCATAACCGGTCAGCAGGAATGCTTGCCCCGTTTTACAGATGAGAAAAGTGAGGTCCAAGCAGGTCAAGGAATTTGTCAGGGCCACATAAGGAGTGATTAGCCTACGGGGGATGAAGGAAGATTCCAGGCATCCACTCCCAGCCCCAAGCTATCCCTTTCTCCCTCAGTGTTGAGATATTCCTGGTGGGTGTTTGCTCCCTTGTGCATGCCTGGGTGCCAGGGTTGCTTTGGTCAGGGGACCTCGTTCCTGGGTCTGAGGACCCTGAGCTGGGGTTCTGCTCTCTTGCTGGCCCTGCCCTTGTGTGTTGGTGACCTTGGGCCATTCATTGAACTTCTCCAGCCCTGCTGATGCTGCTTATCCCTGACCAAGCCTCCTTCCCGTGCCTCAAGATGGAGGTTATAGGGTCAGGCCAAAGCAAGTAAAGGAGCCAAGAAAAAGCAGGATGGTTCAGAGAGGTTTTTGCTTAGCATCAGCTGTGAGCCCAGTGCCCCACCCCCCAGCTTGCCCTTTGACCTGTGACCTCTGCCCTAGCCAGGCTCAGCCCGCTCCTACTGGCCCTGCTGAGCATCTCCCAGGTTTGTGCCTTCACAGATGGATGGGGCTTCCCTAGCCCTGGATGTGCCCCGTGGGCTCCAAACCTGGTTGGTTCCCTTCCTAGACAGCTTTATCTGCTCCACGTCTTACTGCTTCTTAAATTTTCCCAGGTGGTTTCAAAGTCCCAGGCCCTCCCGGGTCACAATTTCACATAAAGAGTTAATCCGTGAGTCTCAGTTTGGGCTGCATGTTGGAATCACCCAGGGAGCTTTTAAACTCCCCACCCCTAGAACAGGGAGTGACTGCATGTGGACCCAGAGGGTCTTTTGGGGGTGGTGGAAATGTTCTGAAATTGAATTTTGGTGAAAGTTGCACGACTCCCACAATGAGTGACTTTTCTGGTTTGTAAGCCGTGCCCCACCATAGCTTCTGAGAGCCCTTTCCCCTGGGGATTCCAGCTTAGCTGGTCTGCAGGAAGCCCAGGCATCTGGAGTTTTAAGGGCCCCCCACCCCCTACCCCATGACTCCAAGATTGAGAATTGCTGAGCTCATCTCTTGAGAAAGGCCCAGAGAGCTTTGCTGTTTCCTTCACATTATCCTAGAGCAAAAGAGAGGGCGTTCCCCTCCTTGGAGAGCCCAGCTCCTGCTCTGCAGGGGCTGGTGCTGCCGCTCTGCAATAGCCCTGGTGAGCAGGTGAGTGCATCCAGGCTCACCTGGTCATGGCTGAACTGGGGCTCCAGCCTGGGCCTCTGGGACTCCATGCTTCTGCTGCCCACACTGCAGGGCAGGCCCCCCTGGCCAGCTTGACTCCAGGGACACATCTGCTTGTGGCCCCAGGAAGGAAAGTCAAGGTGCAGAGCCAAGATCAGATCTAGATAGCCTGGGAAGGTTGGTCTCCTCCTCCTTTTATTGCTCCTGGATGATGATTGAACTAATTGCATATTTATTCTCCTCATTAATCTCATTCAATATGCTCTGCTATTTCTGGAGCTCTGTGTGCTCCCAGCACTGAATTCTGTAGTGAGGTGCAGTTATCCCCGTGGTACTGTTGAAGATGAGGCTCAGGAAGGTGAACCCCCTGTCTGAGGTTGCTCAGCTGGTGACAGGGGTGGGACCCTGTCCACCCCCGGCTCCTCTCTCAGTGTCTCTTTTTCTGGGCTCTCCCATGGTGTCATATGCCCAGCTGTGCCTTGTGTCCTCTTGAGTACCCACCCGGGCAGGCTCTGCTGCAGTGGTCCAGGGTGACCTCGTGCCCTCTACTTCACCCCAGTGGTGTTTCAAAGGTTACTGCATCTGGAAGTCGCCGGAGCAGATTTATGGCCAGGATGGAGGCTGGAGCTCCTGGACCAAGTTTGGGTCATGTTCTCGGTCCTGTGGGGGTGGAGTGAGATCCCGCAGCCGGAGCTGCGACAACCCCCCGTGAGTGCACTTGGTGGGTGGGCTGAGGGTCTTGGAGGGGAAGGTGGTGGTGGGGGACAGAGAATGGCTCCTGTGTGTTCTATGGATGAGGACCCAAGATTGTCAGGGGTGGGGCAGGTCATTCCCACCAGCATTCCCCAGTGACCCATCATTTCTCACTTTTGTGAGTGTTTCGGAATTGGGATTCTCAAATTCTCATGTATAGAAGATTCTCCAGAGGGTCTGGGTGGACCCAAGACACTGTTGATCAAGCCCCCGCTCCCCCATGAAATGTGTTGCACATGATCCCCAAGTTTATTTTCTACCACATGGAACAGAACTTCCTTTTTCTTAACTTACCTCTTTCTAACAAGGTCCTCGTGCCCCTACCCAAACTTCAGCATTCTGGAGAGACATTTGTCTCTCATTCCCTCTGTGGGATCCCCTCCCCTGCTCCATGGTTTCAGAATTTCCCAGCTCTTCATGGTCCCCATCTCCCAAGCCGAAGCAGCTTGCTTAGGGTAGCCTCATGAGAGACGGGGACTGGCAGAGGCTGCCTGGTGGATCAGCTGTTCCTAGAGACTTTCACATGGACAGAGCCTGGCCCAGCTCCCTCCTGGCACCAAGTGGTGTGATGAATACTGCCAAAGGGCAGATCACAGGACCACAGTGGCTCTAGCATCCTCTTAGGTAGTGACCCCACACTCCACTGCTTCCCTGCGGGAATAGAGGCTCACCGCTTACTGAAGCAGCCGTGCCTTCATAGACAGCTGTATTGACCTCCTGCAGATGGAGCCGAGGTGGACCTCCTTGTAGTCTTCACCTGTGGGAGATACAAAAGCCAAGGTGACAGGAAGGCCCAGTGGCACCCCCGCTCTACCACCTCGCAGTCATGACCTGCAGTTATCCCCTGGATCAAAGCAGCCGTCCATTGTGCTCCTTTGTAATAATAGCTGGTTTTATTTTTTGAGGCTTAAATGAAATAACATGTGCCCTCAGCACCATGCCCAGCAGAGATTAAGCACTTAATAGATACCAGCTAATATCAAAATAGTTGTTACATTTATTATTAACAAAGTACACTGAGCATTTGGTCGGGCTAGTCAGGATGCTAAGCACTTAATCGCAGACGCCCCTGTAATTCTCCAGCATCTGTGAGCAGGGTGTGATTAACCTCATGCCCTTGGATTCTTGTATCAGTAGTTTTTAATCCTCTTGACTTCATGGAGAAAAGAGTGTAGATCGCTTTCCCATACCCTCTCTTATCATTTTTACAGACACCAGTAGGCAGGTACGATGGGCCCTCTTTTCAAAGGGAAATTCAGGCAAAGCCAAGTGACTTGATCAAGGTGCATGGCCAGGCCTGGGGCGCCATGCTCTTCTGATTCCAATCCAAGTCTCCTGGACCACTCTTTAGTGTATTATGAGATTAAATGGATGCGGATGCAAATAGACGTCATTGAGTTATTTATTAAGTGCCTACTGCATGGTTAATCGGTCCTAGTGTCCATCTGCCTGTCCCCTCACCCTGGCACACAGTGGAACAGGTGATGTGTGCCCCAAGGAGGGGGAGGGAGGGTCTGGAAGGCGCAGCTCATCGGCCATGCTGCGGGTTGCTTGATAAGTTAGTGGAGCCCTTTGATGCTGGCTGAGCTGAAAGCCCCCACCCGCCCCATCAACCTGGTCTTTCTGTGCCACCCTAGCCCAGCCTACGGAGGCCGCCTGTGCTCAGGGCCCTCCTTCGAGTACCAGGTCTGCAACAGCGAGGAGTGCCCCGGGCCCTACGAGGACTTCCGGGCCCAGCAGTGTGCCAAGCGGAACTCCTACTACACCCACCAGAACACCAAGCACAGCTGGCTCCCCTACGAGTCTGAGGATGGTGAGCGGCCCCGTGCCCACTCCCCACGACCTGACGACACCGGGGCTGTGTGTTCCAGGGAAGTTTCTCCCTCAGGTGTTCCCATCCGTGGAGGTGCCGAAAGGGACATTGCCATCATGAGTGTGGCCACAGATCTTTGTGCAGGCCTGTGCGTGGTGACCCTGGGGTCCCCATCTGGACCATCCCTTGATCGCATGCTCTGACCACGGTTTCCCTGCAGATACAAGTGGCCTGGGGCGGGGCGGGGGGTGCTTTTCCCAGGGATGCCCGTAGAATCCTGCAGGCTACAGTTGGGGCTGGTGCCTTTCAGACATCTGTGCTTGCCTGCATGGGTGAGCATCTGTCCTAAGAATGTTCCAGAGAACACAGGAACACTGTGCTCCCTAGAAAAAGTGAGGCTGGAGCTCAGATCACTTCCTGGAATTTGTCCCTGGGATCTCCCAGCCCTTCCCAGGGCTTCAGGCACCTCTCACTTCACATGACCAGTGTCCCCAGAAGCTCAGTTGTATCACATGCCAGGTTCTTATCTGGTACTGACCAGGTCTCCGTTCCAGCGGTCACTGGAGGTGATTTGAAAGGCAGGCAGAGGGACCCCTCCATGCTGCCTTGGATGGTCACACAGGCCTCAGCACTCACGCAGAGGGTCAGAGTTTGGGGACCGTGCTGGTGTCAGTTGCTGTCTGCGTTGGATACTCCTGTGGGGCCCCATGTTCATGGCATCTTAGAGCCTTCAGGCTGGGGGGCCCTTCCCAGCCCTCGGAGCCCATCTCTTGCCCCAAGCTCCTGTGTTTCCCTGTCGGTAGATGCTGCTTGCCATGCCGCCCTGGGCTCCAGACAGCTCCCATGAGAGTGGCCTCTCATTCTCTGAGCCCAGGGTTGACCCCAGGACCCCATGCTCCCTGGCTCATGTTTAGAATGACAGAATCCTCAAATTGAAAGGGACCTCAGGGGCCTGTCATGGCCACACCCTTGCAGGGGGTTTCGTGGAAGTTGGCTGGCTCCCCTGGACTCCCAGACCCCTCCTGCCTGGTCTCACTGGCCAAGACCCTGCCTGTCTCCCGTGCAGAGAAACCAAGGCAGTGTGTGTGTGTCGGGCTCCAGGCTGGGGCCTGAATGCTGGCCGAGTGGCCTGGGAGCTCAGGATCTGGAAGCAGGAGCCAGACAGGTTCCTTAGAAATGGGCTGTGGGAGACAGAGGCTGGCCTTGGAAGGCTTCCAGGTCTGGTCAGTAGCAAAATGGGGCAGGGAGGGGAAGGCTGGGAGGCCCTGGGCAGCTGGACTTTCCCAGGACTTCTAGACAAATTCCAGGAAGCTGGTTAAGCCCCCAGTCTCGCTTTTTCTAAGAAGCACAGCAAGTGTTTATGTTTTCTCTGGAACCTCCTTCTTAGGTCATCAGCAGCCCAGATAGAGAAGAGAACATTTTCATAGATTGAACCAGAAAGAACCCTCTTCCCTCCCTTTCTGCTGCTCCATTTACAAATCCAAATCCAGCCCACCGCCTGCCTGGCTTGTCCACCACTTTTGAAGTGTATAAATGTGTTCAGATGCAGGGTCAGACCACGGTGTGCTCGGCTGCTGGGGCAGGTCCTGCTGAATCACCATGTGGCCTCTCCTCCTTGATTTCCTCCTCTGTCATTCTAGAATCTACCTCCCTGGGGTGAAACGAGTTAGTTTCACAAAAAGCATTTCAGGTTGTACATCAGGGTGTGAATAGGCTTTGATACCTGGGAAGCAGCCACTAAGCCTTGGCTTATTATTTCGGGTATGATTTTGTCACTTGATTTTTCTCAATATCCCGATGTGGCACTCTGCTGACCAGGGATAATGAAATAAGCTGTGAGAGGCTAAAGCACTCGCCCTGGGAGACTGGAGACGTGACTAATTAGCACGCATCAGAGCAGGGATTTTCTGCCCAGGCTCCACACACAGTGATCCCCCGCTGTGCAGAGCTGGTGGGGGGTGGTGTACGGGGTTGTGGGGGGCTTCTTGGCTGCACCACAGGCTGATGGCAGGCTGATGTCGTCCTGGGCTACCTGCTCTCTGCAAGCCCAGCGGGGGGATCACCGTGGCATCTCTCCCCACAGACACCCAGAAGTGTGAGCTCATCTGCCAGTCGGCAGACACGGGAGACGTGGTGTTCATGAACCAGGTGGTCCATGACGGGACGCGCTGCAGCTACCGGGACCCTTACAGCCTCTGTGCCCGTGGCGAGTGTGTGGTGGGTGCCCCCTCCAGGTCACCCACCCTCTGCTGGTTCTTGGAGACTGGAGGGAGGCTCCGTCCCCGTCCCATGCTCCTTAGGAAGATAAGCATGCCTGCACCTGCTGCACTCAGGACACCCCCTTGGTCCTTGACACAGCCCTGGGGTGCTAGAAGGGGTCATTTACTGCCCAGTCCGTTCAAGGGGAGAGGAGATGTCAAGAATTGTCACCACACGGGGTTCAAGACCAGGTTACATGGCAAATCTGTGGGCGACCTGTCTTTGGATACCTTTCTGCCTAAGGTTCCTCTCTAGGCCAGGGCCTGGGGACCAGGGAGGGAGCCAGGGGCTTCAGGGACCGGGTTCAGGGTTCTTTCCACTCATCTCACCTCTGGCCGCAGCCCGTTGGCTGTGACAAGGAGGTGGGGTCCATGAAGGCTGATGACAAGTGCGGGGTCTGTGGCGGTGACAACTCCCACTGCAGGACTGTGAAGGGGACCCTGGGCAAGGCCTCCAAGCAGGCAGGTGAGCTGGGCGGGGCCCTCCTCCTTGATCTGTGCCATGGTTCAGTGTGGGGTGGAGGGGCCCCCGAGCCTGTCCCCAGACCTCCCCAGGCTGCCCAGGGGTTGGTGAGCCAGAAGCAGCAGCCCTCACCCCGTCTTCGGGCGTGCTGCGGCTGCACACTGGGCCTGGGATCTCAGAGAAGCGCCCTCCTGCTGGACGGTGTGTCGGGCTGGGAGCCCTGCCGTCTCATTGGCATCAGGGCTGTTGGTGGGGCGAGGGTCAGATAGGTCTGAAGGTGTGGCCAAGGCCACAAGATTGGTCATCTGTCTTCCTCTTCTTCCTCTTCCTCTTTCTTCTTCTCTTCCTCAACTTCCTCCTCTTCCTCCTTCTACCCTCTCTCATTTTCTTTAAACCTGTGGTACCTCTTGCTTTGGACTCCTGGTATCTCTGAGTTCCTTGGCTCCCCACCTCCAATCTGATCAAACTCGATGTGGAAAGGCCATCTGGTAGTAGTCCTTTACATGTTAGTGTGAACTAGATCTCCCTGTTTCCCTGGGTGGGGATTTTATAGTTTTGCTTTGTCTTTCCTTGTATGTGACGGCAGAAGGTTGGCAACTCTGAGAAAGGCTTGTTTCCAGGCCTTGGAGTGGGAGGGCCATGGGGGCCCAAGACAGCCACCTGGGATCTTGTGGCCTATTTCATCGAAATCCCTCTAGTATTCTAAGGTGTGAAAAGAAGGGGAGCTGAGGCCAGAGGCGGGAAAAGGAGAGGAAAGGGAGAAGTGAGAGAACTGGGCCAAGGGAGGGGGGCATAATAGCCACACCTTGCCCACGTGTTTATAGGGTGCCTGAAACTGTGACATGCCATTGGATTCCCTGGGGGAGCAGGTCCCATCCCTGCTTTGCCGAGGAGGATACAAGTTCAGAGAGGTTCTGGGGTTAAGTAAGATGTTCCTGATTAAGTGAGAGGCTCTGCAAGTAAATAAGGTGGGGTGACAGGCAATGGGCCACCTACTCAGGGAGATTTCTGCTTTTCTGAACCTTCTGTGCAGGAGCAGCTGTCAAACTGGTACAGATCCCGGCAGGTGCCAGGCACATCCAGATCGAGGCGCTGGAGAAGGCCCCCCACCGCATTGGTGAGTGCTGGGTACTGGGAGAGGTGGCAGGCCCCAGGCCCTGCCCGCAGGTCCAGGAATTCTGGGAGAACAGAGGACAGGTGGATGTCCACAGACTTGAATGATGGACAGAGAATCCCTTTTATTTTATTTCTAAACATATGCTGAGTGGGTGACTTGTCCCATGGTTCAAATTTCAGAAGGTCTACAAGGAAATCTAGTTAAGAGTCCCCCTTGCACCCCTGTCACACAGGGATTGTTTTTCCCTCAGGGGAAACCACTGTTAAAACTTCTTGTCCATGTGGATGGCTTTTAAAGGAAAACCATTTTCACAGAGTGTATCCGTCAGCTTTTGCTGCATAACAGACAGCCCTCAAAACAGTAGCTCCAAACAACAGTCATTTCTGAGCTCACAGTTCTATGAGTCAGTCTCAGGGCTGGGCTCAGCTGGGTGGTTCTGCTGCTGCTTAGATGGACCTTTGCAAATCCTGTCAGCTGGTAGGTCAGTTGGGGACTACTTGGTCTAGGACGTGTGAGGTTGGTGCTGGTTCTCAGCTGGGGTCATAAGGGTGACAGGGCCATATGTGACAACAGCTAACTGGGATTATTCACAGCGTGTCTGTCATGTGGTCCTCAGCAGTAGCAAGAGAAGGCAAACCTCAAGGTGCAAGTACTTATTAAGTCCCTAATTTTCCAATGTCCCTTTGGTCCAAGTCACACAGCCAAGCTCAGGATCAAAGGGAAGAAAATCAGATTGTGCCTGGGAGAAATGGTCAAGTCACAGTACTGGGGGGCCTTGCCTGTAGGAATAGGGGGAACTTGTAGCATTTCTGCCTTCCACCCTGGGGACCCTTCAGTTACTCCTGTTATAACGATACTTAAACACAGTCACTATGTGAGGTGTCTACCCTCCACGCTTGTCACAGTCACAGGGCTATGAAGCCAGGACAGATTAAAAATTAGAACCTTGAAAGAAATCAAAAGATTCAAATTAGTTAAAATAATTCAAACTAAGAATATTAACATAATGTAAGAGATATTTTTGTTGATTTATTTTGTTTTAGTTTTGATGAAACCAAATTGGCAGTCAGAAAAATAAGTGCATGCAGGCCTTGGGGTGGGGGCGTGTAGCTCAGTAGTAAAGTATGTGCTTAGCGTGTGCAAGGCCCTGGGTTCCATCCCCAACGACACATGAACCAAAAGTAAAATAATAAATAAGCGTATCCACATCCATGTAAAATAGATTTGTGGTGGCCAGGGCCCGCGGGGAGGAAATGGGTAATAACTAATGGGTATTGGGTTTCTTTTGGGGGGTGATGAAAATGTTCTGGAATTGCAATGGCTGTGACTAAAGGATCTGACCAGCACAACTGGAGAGGAGGAAAAGTTTATTTGAGGGCTCTCGGTTTCAGAGTTCTTAGTCTGAAGCCTGGCTCCGCCAGCTCTTTGGGGTTCAAGGGGAGGCTGACCATCATGGTGGAAGAGTGTGGCAGAGGGAAGCAGCTCACATCATGATCAGAGAGCAGAGAGAGACTCCACTTGCCAGATACAAGTATATACCCCAAAGCCACGCCCCAGTTCCCATCTCCTGCAGCCACTCCCTGCCACTGCAGGGATTGACTGATGAGGTTAAAGCTGTAACCCAGTCATTTCTCCTCCAAACCTTCTTGTTGTCTCACGTGTGAGCTCTCGGGGGTCACCACACCTAAACCCTGACACACAGTGATGTGGTGAATGTTCTAAAGCATCACTGAATTGCACACTTCCCAGGGTGGACTGTGCCACTGTGAACTCTACCTGAGATGCAGACGTGGTGCTCCACGGTTTGAGCAGGGCCTGGGGGCCACCAGCAGCAGGTAGCAGGTGGGCTATCCTCTGAACACACGCCTGCGTTCAGAGCCCTCACAGAGGGCCCAAGCACTGCAATGTCACCTTGGTTTGTCACAGAGGCTCCTCTGTCCTATTATGCCCCCAGGTCGCACTGCTTGGCACCTTCTCCATCATAAACACTAACACGAAACGTGACATTTCTTGGTGAGCACAAATATCATGAAAATGCCAACAACCAGATTTTTAGATTATTGTTAATATAATGCTATAAAAATTTTAAGAAGCTTCCTGGAGAACTCGTATCCCCTGGAGAAGATGTCTGCCTTACCTGCTCTGGGAGGCCCCAGGAAGGATGCAGTACACACAGGCCGTAGGCACGAATGGACGCTCAGGCCCTCTGTGTGCTCTAGTTAGCCTGGGGGGTGGGGACAGGGCCAATCTGGGTCTGTGCTGTAGCATGAGCCTGGGGACACTTCAGAGATCTTCAGGATGTGGGGATGGTGTTGGGTCGGGGGCAGTGGGGAGGCACGTTTTCCCCAGACGCCTCTCCTGCCTCCCTGCAGATGAGACTGCATTAGCAGTCAGCCCCTCTACCCTCCAGAAGTCTAGGTCCTTGATCCCCACAGGTGGGGAACAGTCCCTGTGGCTGAGCTGTTCTCATGGGACCAGGCGAAGGTGAGAACATTCTGGGATCCTGGAGGGAGAGGGAGCAGGGCAACCTTAGGGCTGAGATCTATTTGTGTCATGCATTTATGTGTGTAGGTCCATGGTGGCCCTCGGTAGGTACACAATTGAGAGTAGATGCATGTGTGCGTGTGTGTGTGTGTTTTTGTGTGTGTGTGTGTGTGCGTGTGTGTGCACATTGCCTGCAGGGTCTGTGCTCTCTGCAGAAGCCCAGGACTTCTGGTAGCAGCCACTGCAGTAAAGGCCAGGGCTCTGTCCAAACTTGAACCCTCTTTCTTCCATTATCTTATGTGAGCCTCATGACAATCTATGAAGGAAACTGTGACCCCATTTTTGCAGTTGAGGAAATAGGCTCAGAAGAGTTAGGTAGTGGCCTGTGGTGACAAGAGGCTCAGGGCACAGCTGAGTCTGGGTGTAGAGTCACGCTGGCCCAACCTCACCCCTGGAATGAGGGACATACAGCCAAGTGTTTGTGACGGTGGCCGTGAGCTGCAGAAACCTGGCCCAAGGTGCCGCCTAGCACTAGGGTAGGCAGTCTGAGGGTGGAGGGACTGGGCAGCTGTGGAAGAGGCCCTGGAGGGAAGGAGGTGAGGGGCAGCTCCCAGGAAAGGGAGACTCTGCTCCCCTCCCCCTTCCCTATGGTTGCTGCCTCCCCTCCAGCCAGGGCAGACCCCCGCCCGCAGGGAGCCTCAGACCCCCTGTCTTTATTGTAGTAGCCTGGCCCTTAGGATGTCAGCAAGGGGTCACTCAAGAGCTAACAGAATGACCGGCTCATGGTTAGCTCTTAGGTTGCAACTACTCACTTTTTTTTTTTTTTTTTTTGGTACTGGGATTGAACCCAGGGGTGCTTAACTCTGATCCACACCCCAGCCCTATTTTGTATTTTATTTAGAGACAGGGTCTCACTGAGTTGCTTGCTGAGGCTGGCTTTGAACTCACGATCCTCCTGCCTCAGCCTCGGGAGCCACTGGGGCATGTGCCACCGTGCCTGGCTTGATTACCCTCATTTTAATCTAGATGGTGGGGCTCTGAAGGGCCTCCCTCCGGACACCCCAGGGTGCCAATCCTTTGCTTCCCCTCTCACTCTTTGGCTAAGGGGCTGGGGTCCCATGTTTCCACCCTTCCTCTACCTTGGTTGCTTCTAGGGTGGCCAAGGGAACACCCACGGCCTTGGCCGGGCCTCTGCTTGGGCACGACTCCGCCCACCTGCCACTCAGCCTCTTTAGTAACAAGTTGCCAGTTCCTCACTGACTGGGACATAGAGGGATAGAAATTCATGGATATTCTCAAACCTCCTGCTCCCTGTGGCCCTGTGCTGGGCGGGAGCTGGCGCTGTGCCGTCAGTCTGCTGGGAAGGGCGAGGCGTCTGTGATAACCAACAGCCTGTGAAGCCCCCAGTGCCTGGGCCATCCCTCCTCGGCCAGGGCTCCTGCGCGTGTGAACTCCTTCCCTGCCCAGCAGCCCCACAGGGGGTGGGGTATGCTAGTATCCGCCTGGCACAGCAGCCCTGTGGACTGGGGACCATCACCAGTCCCGTCTTACAGGTGGAGAGGCGGCGGCAGCATTCGGGCGGGCAGCATAACTCCCCCCTGGTCAGTCTGACTCCAGAACCTGGGCTCAGCCTCTGCTCCGCTACAGAAGCTTCAGAGAGGGCAGCGTCCCTGAGCCGGGCTGTCTGGGGAGGGGGTTATGCTGGGCCTTAGTGGTGGGCAGAGGTGAGTCAGGATGCAGGGAAGGCAGCGAAGGGGAGCCGTGGTGCAGCAGGGTCCAGAGGCAGGGACAGCGCGTGCAGGGGGACACGGGGTTGACCTGTGTACAGAGGGCTCAGGTGGGAGGCGGGGCAGCTGGACAGCAGCCCTGAGGGCCCCATGGGAAGGCCTTGACTGGCATATGCACTGGCCCCCGTAGCAGGGGATAGAAATCTGTGTGACCCTCTCCCCCGGCCAGTGGTGAAGAACCAGGTCACGGGCAGCTTCATCCTCAACCCCAAGGGCAAGGAGGCCACAGGCCGGACCTTCACCGCGCTGGGCCTGGAGTGGGAGCACACGGTGGAGGACGCCAAAGACAGCCTCAAGACCAGTGGGCCTCTGCCCGAAGCCATCGCTGTCCTGGTGAGCCCCGCTCCCTGAGGTGGCCCCTGCCCACTCCTTGTACCCCCTCACCGTCTCCACTCCACCAGTCCAGAGGAAAGCGCCCACTCCTGTGTCTGCAGGAGGCCATGGCACCCTCTGGAGACAGGTCCTCATTTGTGCTTAAAAGCTGTCAGGGTGAGTGGGGCCCAGTGGGGTATCCCTGTAATCCCGGCTTCTCAGGAGGCTGAGGCAGGAGGATCCTAAGTTAAAGGCCAGCCTCCACCTCTAACTCTCAAAATAAAAGATAAATAGAGCTGAGGGTGTAGTGGAGTGGGAGAGCACGTACGTGAACACACTCACACACAAGCTGGCAGGATGACAAGTGAGGAGGGAAAAGGAAATGGTTGTCCCCTCAATGTCACACCCCAGGAGGTCACACGCAGGAAGTCTGTTTTTTATAGCAATATTGGAAAGGGTTCTGGTCAGAGGTGTGTGGTGAGGCCAGGGCTGGCTCCCAGGTCACCTGGCTTCATTGAGAGTCAGCGTGCATCACGGCATGGTCAGTACATGAGTCCTGACATCGCTTTCTCAGGACTTGAAGGCAGCTGACCAGGGGGTGCTATCTGGCAGTGTTGGCCTCCTAAAAAGGGGACATGGGGGCTGGGATTTGTGGCTCAGTGGTAGAGCGCTCACCTAACATGCATGAGGCACTGGGTTCCATCCTCAGGGCCACATAAATGTAAAATAAAGATATTGTGTCCACCTAAAAAAAAAAAAAAAACTAAAAAATAAATATTAAAAAAAAAGGGGGACATGGCCATTGTCCTGGATGGGGCCCATCTCTGCCCACACGTCCTTCCTAGACCTGGGCCAGGGCTTGTGGACCAGGCATTGTTAGGCCAGCAGATTGGCCCACAAGACCTGTGACCACATGCCCTTGGGTTTTGGGGAGAAACCTTGGGTGGCGGGGAGACCCTGGGTGGGCTTCTTCCTGTGCGGCCCCCTCCTGTCAGGGAAGCCTGGAGGGCAGGCTAGGCCGGTGTCGGCGTCGGCATGGTGATTCCACCCAACACAGTACTTTTCTATTCAATTTGTTTTTATGGACCAGCCATTGATCTATGGCCAGCTGGTTTTCAAGGGCACAAAGGCCGTTCAAGGAGGAAAAAAAAATAGTCTCTTCAATAAATGGTGGTGAGACCACTGGACATTCACATGCTAAAGAACAGAGTTGTACCTCCACCTCACCCCTCGGGCAGCTATTAGCTCAAAATAGATCCAAATAGATCAAAGACTGAAATGTGAGGCCGAAACCAGACAGCTCTTAGAAGAAAGCAGAGGGGTAAATCTCCATGACCTTGGGTCCTCCTCGATGTCAAAAGCATAAACCACAAAAGAAGACCTAGATGAATTAGACTTCATCAAAATTAAACACTTATAGCTTATAGCTGGGCGCAGTGGTGCATGCCTGTAATCCCTGTGGCTAGGGAGGCTGAGACAGGAGGACTGAGAGTTCAAAGCCAGCCTCGGCAATGGCGAGGCCCTAAGCAACTCGGCGAGACCCTGTCTCTAAATAAAATACAAAATAGGACTGGGAATGTGGCTCAGTGGTCGAGTGCCTTGAGTTCAATCCCCAGTACCTACCCCCTCCAAAAAATTAAACACTATGTGCATCAAAGAGTCCTGTAAAGAAAGGAAAAGACCAGCCACGAAATGGGAGAAAGCATTTGCAATCCATTATTTGATAAGGATTTGGCATCGGCTGGCCATCTTCTGGGGTCAGTCAGGGAGCAGGTCCTGCCCTCTAGAACCCAGGGAAGGAAAAGCATGCAGAGCCTAGCATGGGCTGCTCTAGGGCCTGACACACAGTAGGTGCTTAATTTGGGGGCAGAAGTTTGTCACTTGGCTGCTGGTGTGAATCCTGCCCGCCTGCCAGTCCCAGAGCCGACCCCTCCCAATCCTGACCCTGTCCTTCTCTTTGGCCCCTTCACCCCCTCTATCAGCCCTGCCTCTCTCTCTGGTTCTGTGCCACCTCCTCCTTCTCGTCTCCCTTTAGGTACTGCCCCCCACTGAGGGTGGCCCCCACGGCAGCCTGGCCTACAAGTATGTCATCCATGAGGACCTGCTGCCACTCATCGGGAGCAACAATGTGCTTCTAGAGGAGACGGACACCTATGAGTGGGCGCTCAAGAGCTGGGCACCCTGCACCAAGGCCTGTGGAGGAGGTACCAACCCCCTGACCCTCCAGCTCCTTGTGGGAGCAGCCCGGCCTCGGTGGGGAGGAGTGGGGAGGCAGAGCGTGGGGGTGATGTTTCCACTGGACGTTGACCGTCCCTCCTCATGCCTCAGTTTCTCCTTAAAGATCTCCAGTGTGTGGAAACATTCTGGGTAGGGCTTTGGGGCGGGGACCAGGGGCTGCTGGAACAGTCTGCAGGCCGGGGACCCTGCCTGCAAGAGCTTCTCCTCAGCGGGACAGGTGGCATCCAAAGCCATTTCCCCAGCAGCCCTTCTTGGGAGTGTGGGAGACCCATCAAGGAGGGTATTCTGCAGAAAGCTGCTCAGGCCGGAGGGGCTGTGGGGCCCAGAGGGAGGTAGGAGGAGTCTCCAGCATCTCCAGAAGGTTCCCTCCTGAGGACTTGGACAGGCCAGTGGGAGCCTGGAGCAGACTCACAGCAGCCTGCCCTCCACAGGCATCCAGTTCACCAAATATGGATGCCGGCGAAGACGCGATCACCACATGGTGCAGAGACACCTGTGTGACCACAGGAAGCGACCCAAGCCCATCCGCAGGCGCTGCAACCAGCACCCGTGCTCTCAGCCTGTGTGAGTGCTCAGGGACTCTGGGAGCCTGGCCTTGTACTGCCTCCTGGGGACAGCCTGTGGCCAGGTCTCCCAGGGAGAGAACAGCCCGGGCAGCAGGTTCTGCCCCTCTGTGCCTGGCCATGCACTCTGGGCTTTCAGAATCACTGACTTCCCCTCAGTGACAAGTTTTCAGTGCCTCCAGACCCCTGGCTCTGGTCACGGTAGTGTTCACCATCTCCTCAGTCTGGTCATCAGGAGTCTAGGGACCTGGCCTGCCAGCCCCAACATGGCCTAGCCTGATTAAGATTCCCTAGCCTGAGGGCACAGGCTCTGCTGAGCACAAGGTCATGTCCTTGGGGCTATTCGGAGGGACCTTCAGGGAGAGGTTAGTGCAGTGGTTTTTGGAGGACTCAGGCTCAGACCTCGGATCAAGCCTCAGGACCTCCTCAGCTCCACCTGGCGTCCCTTGTGCCTCCACACAGGGCCAAGGGCAGCTGCCCATAGAGGGCCTTGTCCATCGTTCTCCTCTCCGCCCCCCGGGGCGACTGGGGCAGGGCAGGAGTGCTGGCCGAGGCTCCACACTAGAGCCACTCCTGTACCGTGGGCTGGACATGCCATCAGGGGCCAGGGCAGGAGCTGGGTGGCTGGCACTAGAGTCTGCTGTAGCTGTCCTGTGCCAGGGACAGCCTCATCACCAGCCCCTGTGCTTCCCTTCCACTTGTCCCTTTACACGGTCACTCAGATCACTGTCCCACAAATGTGGTGCTCACAGGGCCTGCATGCAGGGTGAACCAGCCTGGGGTCCTGGGTGGGCTGTCCCCTACCCCCAAATCTTGAGTTCTTTTTTTTTTTTTTTTTTTAAAGAAAGGGGGGGTTGAGTTTGAATATGTGCTTCAAAGAGCTCTAGTTGACTAAAAGAAACCTCAGAAAACTCAGGGGCGAAGGTGTCGGGGCTGCCCCTCCCACACCCCCACCCAGCGGTCTCCTCCGATGATGGCCATGGCCACTTGAGATGCTGGTGGAAGTTGCTTTGCTGCTCAGAGATGTGCAGACCACCCGTGGAGTTGCGGGTGCTGTCCCCCTGAGGGTGGTGATGACCATACTACACACTTGCTCTTGTGTGGAAGTATGTCTTTGGTCTGTTTTGAGCACTACTCTGTCTCAGGACCCAGAACGGTGCCTCGAATATTTATGGGATGTTGAAATATCCTGATGTAAAGACGGGGTGTCACTGAGGCTTAGTGGCCTTAACAGCTGACCCCAGGACATGCGGGATGCAGAATTTAAACATGCCTCTTTCTGGTTTTGCCAATGAGGAGACAGAGCGGTGGAGAATAGTGGCCTCCCTGAGGTCACCCAGCCAGGCAGCTGCAGAGCAGGTGGAGGGTCATCTTGGCCCCAAGCGTTCTGAAGCTCAAACCCACCCTGCACCCCTTCCGTGTGGCCTTCTTGGGGTGGAGGTGACACCTGGAGGGAAGCATTCCCTTGGTCCCCTTCCCTCCGCCTCTTGCCCCCTCTCAGGTGGGTGACCGACGAGTGGAGTGCCTGCAGCCGGAGCTGCGGGAAGCTGGGGGTGCAGACCCGGGAGGTGCACTGCTTGCTGCCCCTCTCCAATGGCACTCGCAAAGCCCTGCCAGCCAAGGTGTGCCCTGGTGACCGTCCTGAGGCCCGGAGGCCCTGCCTTCGCGTGCCCTGCCCAGCCCAGTGGCGGACAGGAGCCTGGTCCCAGGTGAGTTGGCCTCAGGAGGCTGGCTGTGGTTGGGAAGGGAGGAGCCTGAGTGGAGAGGCTCAAGGGCCTTCCTGGGGCTCCCAGGAGGCAGAGAGCTTCCGTCCACACCTCTCCTCGCATCTAATGCTGTTTTTCTCAAAACAAAATGGAACGGCTCCCGAACATAGGCACGCGGCTCTGTGTGGGGCGTGTCCCTTTCCTTTAAGGCTCACACAGCATCAGGAGGCACGGGTCCGTGCCCCCAAGTCCCAGATGAGCAGATGAACGCACATTCTTACATGCTGAGCGCCAACTGCATGCTGGCATTGTACAGGAATGCCGGGAACAGAGCACCAGGCAAGATCCTCGCCCTCCTGGAGCTCACCGTCCAGATGGGGGACAGAGTAGACAAAGGTCGAGAGTACAGATCCAGGTGGAGCTGTGCAGGGTGACAGGGAATGTGACCCAGGACAAGGACAGAGGGTGGTCAGGGAGGGCCTACGTGAAAGAGTATTAACCGGGTCTTCTTAAAGAGTCTAATCCCACCAGGTGTGGTGGTGCACACCTGTAATCCCAGAGGCTCAGGAGGCTGAGGCAGGAGGATGACGAGTTCAGAGGCAGCCTCAGTAACTTAGCAAAACCCTAAGCAATTCAGCAAGACCCTGTCTCTAAGTAAAATATAAAAAGGGCTGAGAATATAGCACAGTGGTTAAGCCCCCTAGTTTCAATCCCCGGTACCTAAAGAAAAAGAGAGTCCAAACCCCTACCCAGGGCTCGGGTGCAGCTCAGTGGAAGAGTACTTGCCCAGCATGTAAGGGCCTCTGAGTGCCAGCCCCAGTACCAATACAAATAAAAAAGCAAAAGTAAATAAAAGACAAAAATCCCTACTTGTGTAGATTTTATATTTATCTCCATAACATATAGCTTCATTCATTTTGATATAAAATAAAGATTGCTAGTCCTCCAAGGCCTCAGAGAGAAAACGGATGGTGAGCCTGGTAAACACTCAGGTCTGGAGGCTGCTCTTGGTTATTATTCATCCTGGGGGGAGGAGCCATGGTCGTCCCGTGGTTGTCTGTGGCCCGGGGACCCTTGTGTCTCACCCAGTCGTCACATGCTCCAGGATGAGAAGTAAGCTCTGCAAGCTCTCCCGTGTCCTGCTGCAGGAGGATGTGGTCAGTGCCTAAAATGTGACCTGATTGGGCAGCCTTGTTCCCTGGGGGCCTGCCTCTCCACCCCAGAATCCTACCCCCCCACCCCGTGACCCATTTATCAGAGTAGGAAGTGTGTCCGACCCGGAGGTGGCGTGTGTGACAGCCAGAGCCCCTGATACCTGTTACCTCTGCTCCTGGCACTCATGCCTGTCCCTGACAGGGAAGGAGACATTGGGCAGACCTCTACAAGTGGGGTAAACTGAGTCACAAGATCATGGCATGTCAGAGCTAGAAGGGGCCAGAGAGATCCTGTCCTTTAGGTCTCTTGATTGACAGAGTTGGGAACTGAACTAATGAGGCTGCTAGTTAAGGCTCCTGTGTGTCCTTAACAAGGTGCCATCGAGTAAATCATCCTGCCTAGGTCACTCCATGGGGTGGGCTGCAGGGGAGCTTGCTAGGGGGATGCACAAAATATTTAAGAACCCAGGCACAGGGCTGGGGCTGGGGCTCAGGGGTGGAGCGCTTTCCTGGCCCGTGTGAGGCACTGGGTTCGATCCTCAGCACCACATAAAAATAAATAAATAAAATAAAGGTATTGTATCCAACTACAACTAAACATATTAAAAAACGAAGAAGGAGGAGGAGGAGGAGGAGGAGGAGGAGGAGGATGACGACGACGACCAGGAGGAGCATAGACCAGGCTCAATTAACACAGGTGGTAGTAGCTGGAAGGGGGTCCCAGAAGTCCCCTCCCGAGCTGAGAATTTACCATGGAGATTGTGGGAGGGTCTTTGGAGTCCCAAGCTCGGCTCAGTTGGTCTTCATCACTGATTAAGGACAATCTGACAATGGTGTGGTGGCCAGGTGAGGCTCCTTAGAAGCAGTCCTTGCAAGTCCCTTTGGTCAGGTGAAGGCGTGGCACCCTCCTTTGTACCTTTCTGTCCTTGGGCTTTAGCTGGATTCTGAGCTCACTGGTCCACCCTCTGTCTCTCCTTCCACCTGTCCTGCCTGGCACTGTCCTGGCCCCTGCCCTTTCCTGGCAGTGCTCGGCCACCTGCGGAGAGGGCATCCAGCAGCGGCAGGTGGTGTGCAGGACCAACACCAACAGCCTTGGCCAGTGTGAGGGGGACAAGCCAGACACTGTCCAGGTCTGCAGCCTGCCAGCCTGTGGAGGTGAGCTGGGGATGGGGAGGCCTGGCCCAGCAAGGCCTTGACCTTGCACCCAGACCTGCCTTGGATTGTGGCCCTTAGGAATCCCAGATATAGGCTAAGCATCCCTAATCCAAAAATATGAAATCCAAAGTGCTCTAAAATCCAAAACGTTTTGAGTGCTGGCATGATGCCACAGGAGAAAAGTCCATACCTGACCTCATGGGGCAAGCCGTGGTCAAAACTCAGATGCACAGCCTGGCGCGGTGGTATACACCTATAACCCCAGCCACGGAGGAGGCTGAGGCAGGAGGATCAAAAATTCAGGGCCAGCCTCAGCAACTTAGTGAGGCTATAAGCAATTAAGCAAGATCCAGCCTCAAAATAAATAAATAAATATTTTTAAAGGGGGTTAAGGATGTGGCTCCATGGTTAGGTGCCCATGGGTTCAATCCCTGGACCAAACAAACAAAAAACAACCAAGTTCAGGGCTGGGGTTGTGGCTCCGCGGTAGAGCGCTTGCCTAGCATGTGCGAGGCCCTGGGTTCGATCCTCAGCACCACATAAAAATAAATAAACAAAATAAAGATAAAAACCAACCAAACAAACAAAACAACCATGTCTGAGGCCAGCCTGGGAAACTCGGTGAGACCCTGTCTCAAATAAAAGTTAAAAGGGCTGGGGAGCTGTGGATGTAGCTCAGTGATGGAGTACCCCTGGGCTCAATCCTCAGTGCTGCAAAAATAAACAAACATACAAATAAAAAATTCCTATGTAGAACATAGCATCCTCAAGGGGAACGTGATACACAAACTTTCATTCCCCAAATTATCTGAAAAATATTGTGTAAAGTTACCCTCTCACCATGTGTACAAGGAACAAGTGAACCTCGTGTTTAGACTTGTGTCTTCACCAATGTATTTCATTATGTGCATGAAAATATTGCAAAGTCTGAAATCATCTACACTGTGAACTATTTCTGGTCTCGAGCATTTTGGATAGGGGGTGCTCACCTGTACTAGAGCTGCTTCTCCTTGCTCCCAGGAAACCTCCAGAACTCCACAGTGAAGGCCAAGGAGCCTGTGACTCCAGAGGGGCAGTGGGTACCACAGTCAGGGCCGTCGCCTCCCACGAACAGGATAGCATCAGGTAGGTGACTGAATGGACTCCTCCCTCACTCCCCAAACCTTTCAGGGGGCCCAGGCATCCAAGCGTGGGCCAAGTAGCAAAGCAGACCCAGCCTGACATCTGTCTGTGTGGCCTCAGCTTCTTGATCCTCCAAGTCTGCAGCTGGGAAGTGGGATGGTCCTGTGCTGGTCCATAACCTCTTATCTGGGGTTCCAAAATGCTTAGGAAAAGCTGGGCACACGCCTGCAATCCCAGGGGCTCGGGAGGCTGAGGCAGGAGGATCATGAATTCAAAGCCAGCCCCAGCAACTTAGTGAGGCCCTAAGCAATTCAGTGAGACCCTGTCTCTAGATAAAGTACAAAAAAGCACTGGGGATGTGGCTCAGTGGGTAAGCACCCCTGAGTTCAATCCCCAGTACAACACACACACAAACAAACTTAGAAAAGTTTTTATCCTGAGTTTTGTGCAAACTCCTTTTGTTGCAAAATCAGACCAGACCTAATGAGGTGACTTAGTCTTTTGCTATTGAAACTTTGCTATATTTGGTTACAAGGGGATATCTATCAGTCTATTGAGGATGTTCTATAATATGAATACACAGAGGACTAATTTTCTGACTACCCCCCACCTTGCCCAAGTCCCAATTCCGAATCATCTGGATCCAAGATTTTTGGATGAGCAACTATAGGTCACCCCTTTGTAGGGCTCTTGAAAAAATTAAATGAAGGAACGCCCCCCACCCAGCTGTTGGCCAACACAACAGGAATAGCAGTTTCTTTCTGCTTCATGTCCAGGAGCCTGTCAGTTCATCTCCCATCTCTCCATTCGTTCCTCCATGAAGAAAGATTTGCTGAGCACCTGCTATATGGCAGGATTTATGTTTTTTGCTCCCTTCTTAGGTTTTCTCTCTTTTTCTCTCTCAAGATCCAGGGTCTGACAAAGTGAGTGGCAGAAACACCAGACCTCAGCTCCTAGTAAGAGGATCAGATAGCTGTGTGACCTTGGGAAATCCCTGAACTTCTCTGTTTCTCTGCTCCTCTGCTCAGGCTCAAGCTGGGCAATTTCCTGGGGTTCCTTCCTCTTCCCAAAAGCAAAGAGGAAGGTCCTGGAACTTGGGCGCCATCTAGAGGCTACTGGGTTTCCATTTTCTGTGATCTGTTCCCGTAGCCTACCCACCACCCACGGTGTTCTCTGGCGGAAATTAGTAGCCCTCTCTGCTCTTGTCTCCCTGTTCCGCCTAGAGACACCTACCTGGATTAATCACAGAAACATTCGAGACGCATTTAAAGCAAAGCAAATTAGGACGGGGAGCGCCCCTCGGTGCCAGGTGTTTATTATAATGCAGTGTTGTCATTCACTGGGACGTGGCAGCTCGATCCCCATTTTACAGGTGGAGAAACCAGGCTTGGGGAATTTAAGGGATTTTCCCCAAGGTTTCACCGCTGTTAAGTGGCAGAGCCTGGATCTGAGCCTTGATTTGCCTCACTCCAGAGTCAGTGGTAGAGAGCTTAACGACCCAGCTGTCCCGGATGTGGCCGAATGTCCATCTGCTTGTTCCAGGTGTGAGCTCCCTGGACATTAGCCTGGCAGCGCCTGGAGGGGTCGGAGTCCTCTGGGTTGACTGGGAGTCGGGGGTGGGGAGTCCCACTTCCATCCAGAACGGGGCTCTCACGCTCTGCTGCAGGTTGGAAGCGCCTCTGTGCCCAGGTTTTCTGGGAAGAGCGCAGGCACGGCTGTCTGTGAGGCTCCCCTCGATTCCGCTGGACGGCCTGCGATGAATTGCGCTGAGCACGACTCTCGGGTCCCCCATCAGAGTCCCTGGAGGGTTCTGTTAAAGCACTGCAGGGGCTCAGAGTTCCTGGTGGGCCTGATGGTTTACCTGGGCACCCAGCGCCAGGGGAGGCCCATGCTGTGTGCAGGGGGTGCACATTGAGACCACCATTCCAGCCCACAAAGGAGGGCTCTGTCCTGTCTGGGGACCGGTGGTGGCCCCTCTAGGAAAAGCCCTGTAGTGAGTCTGGCAGGGTAGGGGCTGGAGGGCAGGCAGGTGTGGGTGAGCAGGAGGTGGGGCCCTGTGGCAGGGTCACCTGGCTGACGGGCACGCCCTGGCCTTGGTCCTTGTGCTGTGTATGCAGTGGAGCCCTGTGCGGGGGACAGGTCCATCTTCTGCCACCTGGAAGTGCTCGGTCGCTACTGCACCATCCCTGGCTACCACCGCCTGTGCTGCGAATCCTGCACCAAGAAGGCCTCGGGCCCCGCCACCAGCCCGGACCCCAGCCCAGCCTCGCCTCCTCCGCTCTCCACTCCTGGGACCTCCTTACCAGAACCCAAGGCCACTCCGGAGGCTGTGGAGCCCGCCAGGGGGCCAGGAGAGTTGGACGACCATCAGCAAGGCCGACCCACCCAGCTCCCGGGACCACGGGACAGGGGCTCCTCAGCCTCCCAGACTCTGAGCCCTAGAGCATTTGGGGGCACCTCCCCTACCACTCCTCAGGGACCACCTTGGGGCTGGACCCAGCCACCTGTGCCAGCCTCTGAGGGCCCAGGACAGTCCAGGGAGGAACCAAGGCATCCAGGCACTGGCCTTCCTGCCACCTCCCCGGTGACATGAGCCATGCCACACCCCTCCAGCCAGTCATGTTTACACTCTGTGTGCTGCCCCAGTGTCCCCAGCTCAGAGGACACACCCTGAGGGACAGGGGCAAGCGCAGGCTTCCTTTTTTAAGTTATTTGCCTTTTGGTTCTTGTTTGGGGCCGCAAGGCTCTTTCCCCCACGTTGGGGGGTGGGATACCTCAGCCAGCCGGGCCCAGACGGGACCTCTCAGGGCCTCCTGCGGTTGCTCCCACCAGGACTGAGGGTTGGTAACGGTCCCTCCCCACAGCCCTGGGCCCAGGCAGGACCGAAGCCCATGCTGGGAGCTGTAGGGCTTCTGCTTTCCTAGGGCTGCTGGGGCCCCCGTGCAGGCCCCAGAAAGGCAGAGTGGGGCCGAGGGAAGTTGGGGGGCTCCTCCGAGGGCAGGCTGAGGAAGGGGCCAGGGTGAGCCTGGTGGGGAGGCTCCCTGCTGCAGGGTGGCAGGCGACAAGTGCGTTGGTCTCAGGTCCAGCTCCCCTCGCAGCTCCCCTGGCTGAGGCCAGGCAGAGGCCACTCACCTCTGCCAGCTGGAGAGCAGCACTTGTGGCCACACTGTGTCCCTGCGGATGTCACTTCTACTATTTATGGTGACTCCAGGTTACAAATTGGCCTTGCAATTGCATACCCAGATGTCCAGAGAAGAGGGCCCAGGGCACCCTGACCCCACATCCTCATCAGGAGTCTCCAAGCTGGTGCTTGATCCCTGGCGAGACCAGGGACGACGACTTCAGTCCTTACTCCAGGGTCTGGAGGGCCTGGCTTGGGACACGGAGGAGACGGGATTTCCTAGGCCGTGTCCCTCCGTCAGAGCCCACTCCTCTGGAGTCAGGGGTCTCTCCCACCTGACTGGAGCTCGGCCAGAGGCCTGGTGCTCCAAGGGGCTCCCAGGCGGAGAGAGTCCACCCAGCCAGGCTCCAGGGGTGACAAGACCAGGATGCCAGCTCTGTCCCATGCTGGGGTGGGGGACACATCGACCCCTGGTGCTATAGGGCCTCAGTCAGGTCAGCAGCCTCCTGGCCACCTCCAAGGGGCAGGTACCAGTCCTCGGCCCCTTGGCTCTCAGGTTTATCAGGCTGTTCCTGGGGGTCCTCACTCCAAGGTGCTGGAGGGTCTCTCTCAGACCCTTCAAGGGGAAGAGGTGCTTGTGGGTTCATGCCTTCCCCGGCTGGTGGGAGGGGAGCACTGGGCCCTGACCTGGGACCTCCTGGAGAACAGAAGCTCTGGGGGGTCCCCTCCATAGACTGCTGGGCACACGCCGAACATTCCTGTGAGAGCCAGCTGGGCCTGGATTGGGGAGTGTGAGCCCCTGGCCTGGGAGGTCAGGTCTTCACAGTGTCGTGTATTTATTAACATTGCTCTTGGTGATTTGTTTTAACCTCCCCAAAAGTGCTGGTGTGTGTGTGTGTGTGTGTGTGTGCTTTTTTCCTCTGTTTTGGAGGAAGGAGACAGTGAAGCCAGCTCTCAGGCTGGGCTGTGGCAAGATCTGGGGGTGGAGACAGGGAGGGGACCTGAGGGAGCTGCGCAGCCCTGGGCAAAGCACCACTCAGAGGGTGGCGATGCCTGGGAGGTGGTTTGGGGCTCCACAGTGAGATAAGTATTTAAATGGCCAGAGCTTTCCAAACCTGCCTGAGGCGGCTTCCTTGAAAGGTGATGCACACTCTTTCCTTGGGAGGGATCCCGGCAGGACTGGATTCCAGGTGGTAGGAAGGAATTTGGTATGTCTTATTGGACAAGGAGGGCTGATTGGGAGCCCGCTGTGTAATTTAAAAGTGCCCATCCCACCTCACCCCCGCCCCGCCCGTGTCAGACATCACTAATCAATCACCACACTGTTTCACTACACATACACAGTTCCCTTCTTAACACTTCACTCTAACTCTTGATCCAAAGAGTAGAGAGACCCTTGTTCCCAGAGCACATGCCCCTTCTCTTCCCACCTCCAAGTACTGAACGTGTGTGTGGACAACCCAGACCTCATGGCCGAGTGCCATTTACATCCTTCAGCAGACAGCCCCTCCTTGACAGCTACCTGTTTGCAAATGGCGGCCACATGAGCCTCAGAGAACGCATGTGGTGACCCAGTCACACCCCAAGGGGACTGACGTTGGAAGGTGCTGGCATAGGACCCTGAGGCTGATTCAGGATGGCTGAGGCAGGAAATTCTGTGGGCCTGCTAAGATGGAGAACATGGGCCCTGGATGGGAGTGTCCCTTGGCCCAGTACAATTTCTGCCATAAGAGGTCGTATGGGCGGATGGGGGCCTTCTAAGTGCCCCCGTAGCCCAGCTCTAACAGCAGTGCTGGTCCATTGCCTGGGCAGAGACAACACATGAAAACCCTATGCTGATGTGTCTCCCCATCTTGTGCCCAAGGCAGACATTGCCAATCCATCACTGCGCTCTTCCCTCCCGAGCCAGATTCCCCTAAGAATCCTTTTTTCCCATAGTCCTCTGGGCAGTGACCACTGATCATTGCTACTGTAGGGACAGGAGCAGGGGTGGTGGGTCAGAAATTTATATTTTAGAGCACTGGGAACCCTCACTAATCAGCATCTCTGGCAGAAGCTTAACATCTAGAAGCAGAGCTGCAACATGGGCAAGGAGGAAGAAGGTTCTAGAAGCCATCCTGAGGAACTGCCCTGGAGCTCCAGGCCCACGGAGCCCAGTATGGGGAGGAGACATTGCCTGGGAACTTCAGGACTCTAGCATTTGGAGGGCCCGGGGCCCCTCTGTCCATCCGAAAGAGAAGAATGAAAGCATTTATTTGCCTTGTCCCTCTGTGGAAGAACCAAGATAGAGCGACAGCAAATGCAGGCTATTATGGTGTCGTGGGTGCCTCCTGGGGTGGGATGGATCATTGGGTTTTCCTAAATAGGGATTACGGATCCAATCACCTTGGGGATAGGGGAGCTTGCCCCAGAGCCCCTGACCTCAGCCTGTGGGGTCCTCTCCCTTCTCCAATCTCTCTTTGCCCCCCCTCCTGTAGCTCCAAGGTGTTGGGCAGGCAGCCTGGGCCTTGGGACCCTGATGGCAGGTTACCTACACCCTGCCTGAGGGCAGGGGATGTGGCTCATCAGCTGAGCGTGGACCTAGCATGCACAAGGACCTGTGTGTCCACCCCCAGCACTGAGAAAAACAAAACAAAACAAACAAAAAAAAAAAAAACGCTCACTCTACCTTAATAATGAACAAAACCTGATAACCTACAAAGTTCTCTTTGAGTCCCTCAGAACTGAGGTTGTAAAGCAAGCAAGCAAACTGAATTCCAAAGGGTGACAAGGACACAGGCAGCGTTGCCCTGCCTTAAGAGGTCTGCACGCTATTATGGTGTTTCTTACCTGCCCTAAGAGCAGGTAAGAAGATCCACCTGAAATGTTGATAGAGGTTTAATAGTGAATGTGTCCTTTAGAGACATTGGCAGCCCCCGCCACGAGAGGAGTCTGTGCCCAACCGTGGCTCTCCTCTGCAGGCCTAAGAAAAATGTAAGTCAGGACAGGAGGCCCGGGACAGCCCTGGCCTTCTTGAGACCCTGACCAAGTTTCAGAGGGAAAGTTTAAAAAGCAATATCCATTTCCAGGAGCACCACGAACAGCAGACACGGGTATACCCAAATCTCTGCAGCATCACAGAGAACGCTGCACTGAAGAGGGTGATTGTCGACATTACAGTAGACCGTGTTCACAAGTCAGCAGCCCTGCTGTTGTTAGGATGCAACGCTTCCCCAGGTGATCGAGGTGCAGAATGGGCCTCCCTTACCCGGGCCTCCACTAAGGCTGTCTTCGTCCAGCAGGCTTCTTTGGGACTTTGGCCTGTGACTTCATTTGGGTCTCCCTAACAAGCCCTGTGGGCTCTTGGTGGGAGAGGATGGGAGAGGATGGAGCTCAGCGAGGACTCGCCTTCCCATTCCTCCAGGTGGGGGAAGACGGGCAGCTGAGCCTTGTCCTGTTCCTGGGGAGCAGCCTGGTCTCCACGGGGCAGTTTGGCCTCTGGACTCTTTCTTTTTGTAAACCACTGGGTTTGGTGGCAGGGGAAGCAGGGACAGCACAGAGTCTGCATCACCTGACCTGGAACTCTGTGGGCTCTTCTTAGAAGCCCCTATTCCCTACCTGGCTTCAGGTGCCTGAGGCTTGGGCAAAGGTGGGGACACCCAGGGTGGAGGGATGAGGAAGAGAAAGGACAGGTAAGAACGTAGCTGGTCAGTGCCTGGGGACCCAGCTGTCACTAACTTGATATCTCCTGGGTCTGTACCCCACTTTCTTCTCTCTTTTAAAAAATTATGAAAAAATTACATATTTGTGGCTGAATGTGGTGGTGTACACCCATAATCCCAGCAGCTCTGGAGGATGAGGCAGGAGGATTGTAAGTTCAAAACCAGCCTCAGCAACTGAGCAAGGCCCTAAGCAACTTAGCGAACCCCTGTCTCAAAACAAAACAAAAAAAATTTTAAAGGACTGGAGATGTGGTTCAGTGGTTAAGCACCCCTGGGTTCAATCTCTGGTACCAAAACAACAACAAAAGCCCAGGAAAAAAAATTATGTGTTTATTATTGACAAAATTTAAAACTTGATGATAAAAAAAGCAATTTTTTTTAATCTAGCAAAAACCACATTAACAATTTGATCACCCTTCTAGATACGTGTGCTTAGGTGTATGTTCATATATACACACACACACACACACACACACACCAACCAGCTATTAAGGCCATCAGCAACTTGTCTCCTCCCCCCACCACTGCACAATAATATAAGGACACATTTCCACCCTGAAACAAGTCGAGCTGCATCTGCAATTCTAATGACCACACAGTACCTTACCCTATGGCTAAGTGATCATTTATTTAACCCAATCCCCTAGCACTGTCAATTTAGGTTATGTCACAATTTTGGTATCATAAACAGTGGGGTAGGGAAAACTTTTATCACACCTAAGGAGAGTTCACCTGGTGCAGAATGCACCAAAACTGCATCTCAAAATTACT